CAAAGTTGATTAGGGTATGAGGGATGTCAGGGGAGTGACTAGGGTGAATTTGGGACTCATCCGGTGACTTAGGGTTTTGGCTCGAACCTTCGAATGATTATTCGAGATGTTTCAGGAAGATTCGAGCCAAACCATTACCAGATCAGGGTTGAGGGTGGTCTTGTGTCTTAAAGGTGTTAGTCTGGTGGTCATCGGCGTTGTTGCCGCCGGGTTCAGGTGAAAGGGGAGCTATGGCGGCTGCCAGGGTTTGGGGTGTTTGGGTTTGCCTTTGGGGGAGACGAAGGAACAGGGTGGGGTGCTTGGATAGGGGGCGGGGTAAAAGGGTTAGGTTTATATACGAATTAGGGGCTTAGATCCTGGCCGTTGGATCAAGTGAGATCGATGGCCAGGATCTATTCATTCAGGAGGGACGACGTTGTTTGGGTGTGATGGTGGGTGAGACCGGGTAGGGGAATGGATCGGTTCAGATTAACGGGTCTAGGGGAGGGCCTGGATCCGTTGGATCAATGGGGTTGGACGGCTCTGATCAAACGCCCTGAAACGGCGTCGTTGTGGTTAAATGAGCGGCCTGATCGGGACCGTTCATTTGAATCAAATCAACGGATCAAAACAAGGACGTCGATACGACGTCGTTTGGGGACGTGCTTGGGCAGCCTGGGTTGGACTGGGTCTGTTTTGGTTTTGGGCCTAATTTTGGGGCCCATTCCGATTTTTAACAACTCTTTTCTTTTTCCTTAATTACCAAATTAAACAAAATTCCCTAAAAAATAACAATAAAATTACACACATATTATTTAACACCCATAATAATTAACACACAATTTAACATTAAATAAAAATCGCTCAATGTCCGGAAACACACATGCATATATTTTTTGATTTTCTTTTAACCAATGTTATGGTTAATTAATTTCTAAATGTGCTATTAATTCCTAAATGCATGCAACATGTATTTTTGTATTTTTGTTTGCGGACAGAACGGTTATCAAAATGTCACGCGTATTCTCAAAAATTGTACCCCAAGGAAAATCGTTTTATTTTGAATTTTTGGGAGTAATTCTCATACAGAGCAAAAAATCACGTGCTTACAGTGGGTGCTGGGCATTATTGGCCACCGGAATCATTTAAAATAGTGTGTAATAAGTATTATGTGAGTCAACGACAAGTGCAATAAAGAATACAGATACAGAACCAAATGGATTTTGGTGATACCGTTTATGCACGTAAATGGGGCATGTGTTCCCAAATAGGATACGATCGCCGTAAATGTCTTTCAGCTGGTTTGGGAAGTGGTGGTAATTCAGCTCCAGGTGACAGTTCATCAAATGTGCCAAATTATCAAGGATAAACGTAGTGTTTTGTTGCCATATTCTTGTTGTAATAAATGTCTGTAAAGGTTAAGTTTGCATCATTATTGAAATAAAATTATGCTTCCAATAGAGTTAAATCAAATTGATATTTAGCATTAAAGATTCATTCAATACAAAAATTTAAAGTATTTTCCAAGAAATAAATAAAAAAATTCATTTGCCATTATCGTCACTGTCTGGCACTATTTCATTGTCATTGTCTTCATCTTCTTCGTCAATATCTTGTACGCACCCTTCCGGACCGATGGCATCATAATCTACGCCCCAGTTGATACACATTTTTTGTATTTCATCGCTATCATCAATAAGACTACTTGCTTGATTTCTACAATAATATGATACTCCTACGTCCAACGTCTGTGGTAGAAACTTAGGTAGCCCCTCCCACTCGACAACTGCTAGAAAAATTGGATAATCATTGTCTTTATGCAATTTTTTATTTTCTAATAAATTCTAACACTGATCCTCCATTCCTTGTAGGTAGTTAAGATCATCTAGTGCATGATGAACGGCTAGTGCCTTTTCCATCTCTAAAATCTCCTTTATCAAATGCCGAATAACTTCTGGTTCATCTTTGTATGTGTTTGTTTGGAAGGTTGCAGACAATGCTTGTGGTACAACTAGCCCATGCCAGTGGCATAGTACTTCATAATCACACTGTTTTGAGTAAAAGGGAGTTCATTGTAGTTTTTCGCCCCAAATTTACTTACCTTCAGGCTTTGTAGAATGAGCTTTGCCCTCAATAATGTGCCCTGCAACTTTGAGATCAGTGTGTATATTGATATGCTTATTTTTCAAGGGACGTAGAACACCATACCACTTGTCATCAACCAAATCAGTATAGCAACCTAGTATATTTTTTTCAAGATAGGGATTGATTGTGTTATGACGTGTTCCATGTGGATCTATTGAACTACCTTCACCTTTTTGCCTCTTCTTAAACCACTTATTAAATGTTAATAGCATTTCTGAAATGGATGTTGTAATGGGTATTGAAATGGTCTTTAAAATCTCTTGGTTCAACTTAAGAATAACTAAACTGCACGAACTTGTATATTAAACATAACGCATCACCAATATGCATTATGTGTATTGTCATGTCGACCTGAAAAGGCTGTTGACCCAAAAAAGCTGTCGACCTGAAAATGCTGCACCCACTTGTATCCTAAAGAATTATTAACACGTGAAACGTAACACATCACCAATATGCGTTATGTGTATTGTCATGTCGAGCTGAAAAAGTTGTCGACCTGAAAAAGTTGTCGATCTGAAAAAGCTGCACCCACTTGTACCCTAAAGAATCATTAGCACGCGAAATTTAGCGTATCACTAATATGCGTTATGTGTATTGTCATGTCGAGATGAAAAAGCTGTCGACCTGAAAAAGCCATCGACTTGAAAAAGTTATCGATCTGAAAAGCTGTACCCACTTGTACCCTAAAGAATCATTAGCACGTGACACGTAGCGCATCACCAATATGCGTTATGTAAAGTAAAATTACTCCTAGATGCCTATAAATACCTCGCGCATTTTAGTTATTATTTGCGTTGTAACGAAACGAATAAAACAACTTCCCATTAATTTTTCATTTTTGAGCATTAAGCCATGTCTGTATGCAATGACGTACCAAGGTGTAACGTGCGATTTTGAAGCCATGTTGGTCAAATTGCAATTTGGGGCGCGGACGTTGGATATGTAAACAAGTTGTAAGTTATTATTATTAGAAAAAATATTTTTTAATAGTTTTTATATAACATGTTAATTAATAATCTTTTGTTATCATCCCCATTTGTAGGACGAAAACCAATGTAATTTTGAAGAATGGTATGATGAACCCATTAACCAGGAATACTACAAATCATGTTTGCTAAACATTTGAAATCTAACCGGTGAGCACTAACTCCAGATCTTGAAGCTGCAGGAACAACTTGCGGCAGTGAAGGAGAAACTAAAAGAGGTGGAAGAAGAAAATAATCGGTTGGAAGAGAAATTTAAGTGGTTGAAGCATAGAATAATGGGTGATGATGACTAAACAAACTCATGTATGCGTTTAGTGTAGTTTTTTATTTTTATGTTGTATGTGTCATGTATTATCTTTAATTGTTAACGAATTTAAATTAATGTTAAGTTGTCTTTTTTTTGTTCTAGTGTTAAACAAATAATAACCCGAAAAATTAAAAACACATGTGCAAATTATGTAAAACATAAATAATTTTGCTATTATATATTTAATGTCATATATACAACTAAGAATACATATCAATGAGTCCCACAACCTGTATACTTTAAAGCATTGGCTGGCCTGAGTGTATTCCATCCCGCCCGGCTACGCTATCAGGATCATCCTCATCACGTCGCCTCTTTATCGGAGGATGCGCTGCAACATGATCATTAGTAAGGCTTGCAGGCTCGGTAGAAGCAGCCGTTGGGCCAGCAGTAACCTACAGAATAATAAGATATTTTAGATATGAAATATAGAATACTAACATATGTGTTATGAAAAAAATTTAATGGTCATACCATGGTCTCAGTGGGCTCATGCATAAGATCATCTGTCCTCGGCAAATTAGTATTGCACAATGTCGCCTCTGTGACGGGCGATGACAGAATATTTTAAAAAATAAAAACACTTTAGATATTACCGACTAATCTATAAGATAAAAATAAATTGAAATAATAGTAATACAAACAAACCTGCGCCTGAGTAGCGACACAATACTCTATCGGAACATCGAGGTGCACTGGAATAGATGAAGTATGTAAAATATCCTCAGCATCCCTCGGTGATGGGCCATAACTCAGATGTCGCCCACTATGCACCTCTCGTATCGGACGATCAACAACAACAGTCGATGGCTATGGACGATCAAGAAAATACTGATCCCACTCCTATTGCGTAATGGTCGTGCCCGCAATCAACAATGGAGCTGACAAGGTCACCTGCGAAGTCCCTGGTGACAACTGAAGGCTAAATGACGGCATATCATGAGGATCATCGTGTGGCTCAGGGTGGTCACTCGGATGATCATCTCTAATATCCTCCACGGGTGCCTCAATTCCCCCTTGCTAGGGACCTCATCCTCGCCGACTACCATGCCCACGTGCGCCACCCCTTCCTCTCTGGCCATGCTGGCATCTACCATGTTCAGGCTCCACTAGTGGCCCATTATGGTACTCCTTAGGCGGCACATAAGTAGCCTCATATCATAAGCGCCCATCCTCTCGAGCACGCCTCAATGTGTCAGTAGTAAGATCAATAACCCGACGGCCAAACACGTGCAGAGCCGCCACTCCCTCGCCTGTATGTTGTAGCATCTCCAGTCCCAGCTAGTAGAATTGGTGTAAGCCAATAGCCTGCATAGCATATAAAATATTAATTATGGAAGGATAATGTAACATTGTAAGTATGTATACAAATAACATACTAGTTCCTCATGCCTCCCGACATTTGGAATGTACCGACCACCGGCGCGGTGAACGGGATTCCCGACGAGAAGTCGGGTAATGCTGCGATACCAGCCCATGTACTCATGCTCGCCCTCCATACGGTCAGGTGGAGGGTTTGGCGGAATCAGGAAATACCTCTGGTCCCAATCCTCAATATGGGCCTCTAGTCAGGTCAAGTATGTCTAGTCGACTCTGCAGCGATCATCCCGCTGGTGATGTGTCATGTGCCAAGTGAGAGGAATAGGTACAAGCTGTGGGCAACCAAACTGGTGAAGGACTCTTTGGGTGCCTATGTACGCCTAGCACATAGGTAAACTAGAACAGCTGAACCTCATCTATAACCATATAAATCATCTAGCTACTTGAGATGATGTAGAAATTGCAAGCTAACTAGGTTTTCCGAAGTGTTCAGGAACAGTATACCACCAAACATCATCAGCAGCAACAATATCGGGTGCTGGTCGATATCCTCTGGCGGTGAATCATCAGTAATCTTCGCATCCATCGCCACTAGATGCTGTCGAACGGGCGTCAACTGCAATCGACTGGCCCCACTCAATACAGTTGGCTTCGTTGTCTGGAAACCTATGAGCCGCTGCAACATATGAAGGTAATCCTCTCCCGTACAATCTCTAAGAGTATGCGGGTAAGATACATGTATACTATCAATGGGCAGCCCGAAAAGAACCTCCATGTCCTCTAGCATGATGGTAGCCTCGCCAATGGGTAGATGAAACGTGTGCGTCTCCGGTCTCCACTGCTCTATCATAGCTATGATCAGCGCCCATTTGAACTTCAACCGGCTGATCTCAATGATCCTGTAAAAACTCGTCCCCTGAAGGCGTCTAACTATACAGGGATGCAGTGGGTGGTCCCTAATAAACTCCCACATATCTTCTATACGATTGGGGCTAAAGGTCTGGGACAGACGCTGCCCATCCCAGATATGTCCCTGTATCAACAGTAGCTCTCGAGATGCAGGTCCGGGATGCACAGGGGGAACCTCCATGAAGATGTCTGTAAATTGAACAATATTAATTAAAGTATTTTTTTGTTTAATTGTTTAACATCTTTAAATATATTGCAATATCTTTTATATTAATATTTAATTGATAACTTTTCTATATTATTACTTAGATTGATACATTTTCTATATTATTATTTTATACGTTAGTTTATTATATATTTTATATGTTAGTTTCTTACTCAGCTATTTTTGGGTATAATAGAATTAAATAATTATACACGATATAATTAATAAGTATTCATATAAAAATACTTAGTTTGACAAATATTCTATATTATTGTTTTATATGTTATTTTCTTATATTTTTTAATAAAATTCGAAAGGGTTTGTGTTTGAACAATCATCTTTTTTCATATATTTTTGGGGTTAACAGAGAATAAAATAATTAATTTCAATAACTAAAAAGATATTTTAGTAATTATTCATATAACAAATACTTAAGTTGATAAAATTCCTATATTAATATTTTATATGTTAGTTTCCTACATTTTTCTACTAAAATTCTACATGATTTTGTTTGAACAATTATCTCTTTAAAGTTATTTTTGAATTATAACAGAATTATATATTAAAATTTCATAAGTAATGAAGATATATTCAATAATTACTCATATAAAAAATACTACAAACTTAATAGTAAATAATATTGAATTTATGTCATTCATAACGATTTGTTTGTTAACTGTCATATTTTGTCCAAATTTCCTGGCAACGTCTTTTTTGTAACGTCTACTGATTATTTTATGATTCATATCTAATATTTGATAATTATCTACTGATATATTAAATCCATAATTCTGCACAATGGAATCTCAAAGAGCACTAAAGTAACACGACTCTAAATGGCCATAAACAAAGTCAACTACCATAAGCTAAAATTTATTATCAGTTTTACTACGCTAAAGGGCACTACATAACAACTAATGGCACACCATAACACTAAAGAGCACTAAACAACAATAAAGTCACATATTAATATACGTACAACAATAAAATCACATATAATAATAATTATTCATAAAATAACAATATATATTTTTACAAATTTTTTAGCACATAAATAAACTAATAATCGGGATAAAAAACAAAAAATTAACTAAATCACAAACGATCACAGAAAAATATAGACCACAATAAAAAATAACTAATAAGCATTTTATATACACGAGTTTTACTAAAAAGTAAGTTGGAATACCTCGATTTAAAAATTTTTGAAATGTGAAAAATTGATGATTTGGGAGCCGAAACGAGAAATAGACGAGATCCACTACACAACAATACCTTGGATCCGGTGTTAGCTTGCTAAAATATGGAGAAGACACAAGTTTTGGGGAACGGGGTGGACTCCAATGGAGTTTTTTGGTTAAAAAATGGAGGGGGGGGACTGTTTTTTGTGTTGCTGCTTCTGTCTGGTTGGGGAACAAGACGGGCCCTATATTTTATATAGGTATAGCGTATCCTACTTGTCTTTTCAACTTTTAGTATAGCGCATCCTGCATGTGCGCTATAAGTAAACTTTGCCCGCTAAAGTAAAAAGTTCAAATTTAGCGCATGTAACCCATGCACTATACCTTTTTNGGGAGGGGGAGAATTCAATAAACTGAGGGGATAGTGATGGGAGACATAACAGGATAAGGGATTCTAAACGTTGTTTTGTCATCTCTCGCAAGACGACCGATTGCCAACGCAATTCCAGTGGCAGGCCACTATCACTTCTATAAAGCCTAATAACTTGTGGTTTCACCCATCAAGCACCCTTTTTTTTTTTAATGTATAGGCGTGGGGAGGGATAAGAGGGTAGTCATCCATCACCAAAAAATAATTAATTTGCTGTCTTATTAGTCATTCATCATGATCATGGACAAGTATCTCTTTTTACAAATACAACTCAGAATTGCAGTATGTTTTATGACCTTTTCATTCCTGCCTACAATGAATGAATGAATGAATCACAATATCTCCCTCCCCTATGTCCATTAAAAGAATTTCACTTTCCTATCTACAACCCATATATCTAACCTTTTCACCCTTAAATATCCCCCAAAAACTAACCAGAAATGAAATACATTTTACATAGTTTACACAGAATCAAGTAGTATTATTTTTGTGCAATCTGAGTCTTGATAGGTTTCAGCTTTAAACCCATGCTTTCTGGAGAGAGAAGCTCAGGAGCAATGCAAGATGGAGTGAGAGGACTTCTAGGACTGCCACTGAACTGATTTGGTCTGTATAGTCCATACCCCATGAGGAAATACTCCATTGGTATTAACATAGCATGTGGCTGCTCTTCTGTCACCATTGATCCACACACTTGTACCTGCAATCACACTCTTTCCTTATTCCCTATATTTTGTGCTGCATTTACTCAAAGTGTCATACATACAACTCAAGCGGCGGCATCAGCATTTAGTTAGAGCATATAATTGATTTACAGACAGTATCTAGCCTAACTAGCCAAATATCACTAAATTATTTTGCTACACAAGGAATTCATAGCACATGACAATATACTGAAATGGTGTGTCATTAAACATAAAATGCGTGATATACCTCAACTAGGGCACTGAATCTTCGATCTAATTTAGCAGTTATGTGGAGAGCCTCCGAATGGAAAGGAGAATCATCCCCGACAAATATGAGGGTTCGACATTTTATTGTTTTCAATCCATCCGTGATATCAGGTCTCCTATCATTCATAGAGTCAAGCTTAGAGAGGTAAATTTACAAGGATGTAAATAAAGAAATCAGTACAAATATTTAAGCAGTGATGTTTAGTTTGTCACCCATCAATGGCTTGAAGAAAACGCCAAATATTCATGCTCTGCCTCTCATCTAGTAACTGAAAAGTTAAAGGACCAGAAAGAAGAAACATACAGAAGAGAAGATCCTTAAACAATATCCAATGGAAGTATTAAATTGAACAATTCATCATGGACTACCACAGTGGAGGCACTTACTCTTCTGCATGCTTGAACTATATCTGATTCCGGAACATCTGGAGATCCACGAACTTCCTGATACAATTGAAATGACCTCCTTATTCAATCCAATCAGTAGAAAGAAAAACATGCCAAAATCTATGAGTGAACACACAAAGGGAATGCATGTAGGGTACCTTGCTGAAGTAGCGGTGCAGCAAAAACTCTTTCAGAACACCACACATCCCGTAGAAGTATAGTAAATTTGACATGACCTATATTAACAATAATCTCCAGTTTCATACAATGGATTTTCTTCTCACAGCATAAAGGTAAACGGAAGATATGAAAGAGTACCTTATTGTAAAACCATTCAGTCCAAGAAGGTGCTCTGCATAGAGGGGAAACAAGAATCAAACCAAGAACACGCTCCCTATGCTTTATCTGTGACATGTGAGCGTTGTTAGTAAAGTTTAAGCCATACCACTATTAAAAGTATCAGCATGACATTATTGGAGAAAAGACCTACAGCAAATAAGCTGAGTATGTAAGCACCAGCAATTACTCCCATACACATCACAGCTCCAAGCCTAGAAACAGCAAGAATCTCATCATTAGTAAGAACTAAGAAGTTTCCAAGAAGGAGCTCCAAACAACTTAACAAAGATATCTAATAAGTCAAAAGGANTGAGTCGGCTCAAAGAGAGTTTGACAACAAATAGAAGAAAACCTAATGACTTGATGAAACAAAACAAGCTTGCCAGTTCACAGACCTCATGCCCAGGAGGACTAATGTGGTAAATGCAAAAATTGTGGAGCAGCAGAGAAGCTGCTTCCGGACAGAAGAACAGTCCTTGGAAACATGAATTATCTGCAAGAACGAATGAGAAAATATAGTCTTGACAATATAAGGTAACATATAACAAAAGGATATCGGGACTGAGACATAGTTGTTGTTGTATATAACATAAAAATATATAGGCGACAACAAGTACATGAATAGAAAATCCTAAAAAAGGGAAATATGAAACTAGAGGATACAAACTTAACACTTACGATTTAGAGCTAGATCAGGATAAGTGATCAGTGCTGGCTTCTCTTGGTCTCCATAAACTAAAACTGACACAGAACCACAGTCAGTCCTTATGATATGCTCCTGAAAAAAGTTCATTTGCATCATGTTAATTGATCAGAAGATAGAAGCTCCATTATGTAAAAGATATAAAATTTATCATTAATGGAAAATGTACTAACCAGTATAACAAGTGAAACAGAATGACCATTTAAGTAAAATCTTAATGCAGATAGTCAACTAACAACCATTAAGTAGACAGAAAAGTAGTCCATTTCCAAGCAATGAAATGCCAAACAAGAAAATCTTCCAAATTATTAGATACGGGGTGTGTAAAAAAATCAAAGCCCAGGCTGGGGAGGATGGAAGAAGATACCAGTGGGCTTGTTAGCGTTTTGTCATTGAGGAAGGTATTAATGGGTTATCATTATTAGGTCGGAGTGGGAAGAAGTGCTTTTCCAACCTGTTGTTTCTAGAGACTGCTTCCTCTCTCTCTCAAATGCAATGCCTTACTCAATAGAATACCAAAAATAATGTCATTCACCTATTATACCTCCTAGAGAGGATGACGAATGTTTACCCCTACTACTCCATATACTGGCTTAACAATCCGAATTAAGATGCCATTTCGCAAGTATTGGAAGAGTTAAACAAATTTAAGACAACAAATGAGAATAAAGTACAATTCAAGATCCAATTTTTTCCACTAAAGACCAGACTAAATGACAGCAAAATAGATAAATTCAGGACTAAATTTCTCTTAACCCCCAAAGACTGAAAAATGGGGGAAAACAATTAAGAACTAGGGTGTTTTTGGGCCTTCAAAGAAATGAATGCCACCATTAAACAAGGATTTAAAAAAAACATCAAGAAGTTTTGTGTTTATTGGCCTTATAAGAAATGAATGACAGGGCTTAAACAAGAAAAATCAAGATTAATGAAAAGAAAATTGCGGGCAGAGAAGGATAATTTCAAGCGTTTCTCTCGTTAAATATTAAAATAATCCAAAAAATAAGGCAGATGTTTATGTAAATGAAGTAAAAGGGAAAAATGGAACCTTTCCGCCAAGATAGATGGTCTCAACATCGACGGAAACGGAATCGCTGCTTGAATCTGACATATGGCCTGCCTTTTTGGTTATCAATTCAGCTAACCAAAAAGCCTCTCTCTCTAAATGTTTCTCTTTCTATACATACAAATGAAGAAGAAGAGGAAGAAAAAGAGAGGCCCTTGAGCTTCAATGGCTTCTATTCCAAGCGATTCTCTCTCTCTCCTTTTCTTTTCCCAATGTTTTGTAATTTCTAATTTCAGTTCCTTCCTTGTCGCTCCACATTTATCCCAACGGTTCTTTTTTTTTTCTCTGATTTTTTTTATGCGGTTAACTTAACTAACCTCCCCTGAAGCTTTAATTATTGGATCAAACATAAAACTCATTAATTATATCTTTAAATATTTTAATTTAACTCAACAATTGAAAATTCTTGTTGGCAGTTGTCATGCTTACTTTATTGAGCTGGAACCGAACGACAACAAGGCTTTCTTTTGAAAGACAATATTGGTCTATTTTTCTAACAGTGAGAGTCTATTTGTTGGGAAAATATAATTAAAATAGTAATCGTGTGCTACATCGTCAGTTCATACACAATTTAGAACCTTTCCCCTTAAAATTACCGGTTAGGTAAGGAAAGAAAGTGTCCATGTGTCCTAACTAATTTTTATGATGCTCTTCCAATTCCAATTAGGTCCTGCATTCAACGACGTCCAGGTGTGTCTTTCTTTGCTTTTTGTTTGTTTATTTCCTTTTAAATCATTGATGTTGGACATATTTGTATATGTGTTTTTATATTACCTTACTCGTATTTTTACTGTTTTTTTACTGTATTTGTACTAGATATGCCCAACTTAATTATATTATTGTACTTTACACTCATTTGAGTGTTAATCGATAATGCTGATACTTTAAAGATGGAATTATGGAACAAAATAGATATTTTCAATTGTATTTTTAAATGATTACTGACGTGCCGTTAAAGACACATGACAGGCAAAGAACAAGCAAAGAATGTAATTTGATTGACAGATCCCAAATTACATGAAGACAAAATCGAATACACAAAAAGAAAGGGGGAAATCTTAAGGATTACGTGGGCATGCATGAATGTTCATTACAAATGAAGTATCAATTGAAAAGAAGAGTTTGGCAGCCCACCACTACCCAGAATAGAGTTAGGCAGGGACAATTGAATTAACAAACGAATTGAGGCAAAGAAGATCAGCAGCGCGAGGCTGAGGTTGGCCATCGCGATAGGCAATGCTATGCACCAGCATCTGGTTCCAAGGCCATTCCATCTCTTTTTTGGGTTTGGACTAGGTTGTTTCGTCTAGTTTTTTTTATACCTATAAAGTACGATTTTATATTACTTTTGACCAAGAAAGAGCGAGGAGTTATCATGGAGGCTAGAGTTTATTGGATTTCAATTTTTTTCCCGCAAAACTTAGTTTTTATATTTCTTTGGATGATTTGTTGTTTGACTACGATGTCGTCTATATGGAGCTAACTTTACGTTCTAGGATTTTGGTTCTTTCATGACTATTGTTATACGAGTATTTATTTTGATTTTTTTGATTTATCGTACTGATTTATTTATTCAATTTTGATTATTTGATTGTTTGATCACCAATTGAATACTATCTACGTATCTGGAATTAAACTCGAAAGTGAAAATTCTAGATTGTACATAGCATTGAGTAGAACAAGTTCTTGACCCTGGGCATCAGGGAACAAATTAACAGTTAGGATAGATATATACATAATTGTGTTGATTGGTTATTATACAAGAATTATAAATTCTTGTTGATTCTAACTCCATAGACATATAGGTGTTAGGTCAGATTAAATAGACGAGTACGAACTCAATAGATTCTTATGAACAATATTAACCTTGTCAACTAATAAATCAGATAAATTAATTAGTCAATTGTAAAGAATACAACATGATTGTTAGATAGCCTATAATCCAAGATTGTTTTTATCATATCGATAACATAAAAAATTGTTCGTCATTTGTTCAGAGTTCACTATTTATTTTTTCTTTATTTTAATTAGTTTAAAGTCAAAGACTTATAAGTTTAATTCTTATTTAGATAATTAGAATAGTCTAATTTAGTCAATAGTTGATAACAAGTTTTCCTGGGAAGGATATTCTACTTATCACTTTATTACTTGTCGATCACGTATACTTGCATGTGCATTTGGCCCCAACAAATTTTTGGCGCTATTATTGGAGACTTAGAATTAGCTATTTGTCTAGGTTAGACGTTTACTTTTTATCTACTTAGGGATTTTTTTAAAAATTTGGTTTAGTTAGTATTTTGTAGCTTAACTGAACATGGCATCTTGAAATGAAAATTGTTCGGATGATGGTTATTCTTATTATGATGATCCTTATCCATATTGTAAAGGATCTCACTGGTAAAAAAATCGTCAAAATATTCCTAGGAGCAAGTTATGCGCACAATCTCATTCCTATGAGTGAAATTTTTGTAATGTATATGGTGGTCAAGGAGGTCATAGAAATAAATGGTTGTCCTAATTCTTCTTATTCGTCCATGAGCCCTTATTATGATGATTCTAATAATGTTTGTGAGTTTGATAGCAACAACAATGTTGGAAGCCATGGAACGTGATGCTCACATAATGGATATAGTGAGGCAAGTATCAGAGCAACATTATGAACTTAATAAAGCTATAAAAAAATAAGTGTAGCAATCACGAGAATGAAGGCCAAGGAGAACGAATGACTAAAGTGAGCGAGTTCCATCAAGAGAAAATTTTTGAAGAAGTGGAGGTTTGAGCCAAACATGGCTAATGGTACATGCTCAAAAATAAGAAATATATGAGGCTCAACACAAAAATTATAAATGGGATGATACACTAAATAGAAGGAAGAGGTGAGCTTGGACAAGAGATCAATAGTATTCGGCAGTACTATTCATGACTTCGCGGATAATTTAAATGTAAATGTTATTGCGTCTAACGCCCAATAAATTAGCTATGAGTTATGTGAACCTGAAAAGGAGCTTATAAGATAACTTGAGAAGCTAAAAGTGGAGAGTGTCACACCTCCTTTTTTACCTACACCCTCGGAAGGGAGTATAAGGGAGTTTTTTTCCAACTTAAAGTGACAATCGAAACGGGATTATTTTGTTAAAAGATTCAGAGTCGTCACTTGGGAGATTTATGGTGTCCCAAGTCACCGGTTCAAATCCCGAATCGAGGAAAGAATGACTCTGTATCACATTCCGCGAACCAGAAATCCGGGTAAGGAATTCAGTTAACCCGGGAGAAGGTGTTAGGTAGTCCCGAGTTTCGTGGTTCTAGCACGATCGCTCAACTGTTATATTCGGCTTAATTATCTGATTTTAAACAATTATGAACCTATGTGCAGATTTTAGCCTATGGTTCAATTTTAACTTTATAACCGCTTTTATTTAATTTTAAGAAAAAATTGCAACGTCATTTAAAATACGTCTTGAACCACGTCACATAAATGCACCCGCGGCTCTCGACATATTCTATCTAACATTGTTGAGATTTGGATTTGGGTCACATAAATGCGCACCCGAGTTTAAGAACGTAATTTATTAGAATAACGCGCCTAAAGCAACTATGTGTTTGCAACTTTGCGAGGGCCATGAAAATTCGATAAATGACACGCCTCGGTTTCTAAGGACAAACAAGATCAATTAAACGAGGGCCATGCAATTGAGATTTTTGTTTTGCATGGCACGCCCCAATTCCAATTTTTTAAATAGAATTCAAACTAAACTTTGGAGGGCCATAAGCTATTTGTATTACCTAATATAGCACACTTCCAATCTATTTTTGAAAAGCCCAATTAATTAACTAAGGAAAATTTGCGGAACTTCTACCTGTTTAAACTAAGGGTTCTACCCTACAAATTTACTAAAATGCAGTGCATTAGAAAATTAAAGGCCCAAAGGGAAGCTATTTCAAACACCACTGAACGGACCATTTTTAAAATGTCTTCAAGCTTTGGGCTTAACCAAGCCCAATTTATGATGAAAAAAAAAGCGTCCATGGGTCTGATTGTGATTATTCTTCAGCTGGACCTGCATTAGGCCCAGCTTCTAAGCTCTAAATTATCATGCCAATCAAGAATGCCACTTAACTGATACCGCAGGGAATGTGAAATCGAATTAGCAAGTTAGAATTATGATTTTAAACAACTGATACAAATTAATTAAACTAAAATTCCGATTTTATTTTTTCCAGCATGCGTTTGAATCAAGTCTGCTATGTGAAATGTCCAACAACAACCATACAAGCCATTGGGCTCAGCAGACAAATCCAATGCATCCAACGTGCCATCCTCTCTTGAAAATGGCCCAGAAATCTAAGTTTCCATGGACCAAAGACTTGCAAAAACCCAAAATTGGAAATTAAGACTCGAAATCAAGTCCTATCCAACACCAAGGCCTCAACAAGCTATCAGCTCTCCAAACATTTCTAACATCCCATGCATTGATAACAAACAACAGTGGCTCATACTTGCAATTAATTTCTAAATTATTCTCACAACAAAACATAGAAAATTTAAGCCCACTCAGACCATTTAAATGGCAGTTTTAACTATGTGAAATACTGTAAAACTTTTCAAATTGCAAAGTAAGACCTCAAACTATACGAACACTAACTTAACACACTCAAATAACCTTCTATTACAGCATGTCTGACAATCCACTCATATGATAGATCTCAATCCTTATTACAATGCCGACATTCTGAATTTAAACCTCTATTCTAAATAGCCAGCACAGCCTTAAACCAATAGCATGAACAAGCAAACCAACACATGCAAAGAAAATTAAGTTACTATAGAACTGGGGAATTTACTAACATAAGATAACCAAATCTAGTAGTAATTACAACAAGAGATGGTGTTTTCATTTAAATTCCAACTCAAGTTTCCAGATCTTTACACAAATTCAGTCAGGCTTCAATTCCATGACAGTCTCAAAGGCATACCTGGAAATTGCAAAGGAAAAAGAAGTGAAGATAGGCAGTAAACAGTAGAACAAAAGCACAGCAGTATCAATGCAACAGTGTCCTTGCAGCAGCTTGAAACCCTGACTTTAAACCTAAAATCAAACCACTTCCCAACCCAGGTGCAAGATGTGAAAATTTTCAGAGATTTTAACTAATGAAGAAGATCAGAGACCTCTAGCTAATACAAAATTTGATCAGTTTTATCAAAGAAATTTGGTGGAAATTAGTGTAGTTTCAGAATTTTTTAGCTTTTTTGTTCTCTCT